CTGTGTGGCCTGGATAGGGGGGCAATAGGACTGCAACGAGCTGTCCCCATATCTATGCAGGTTTGGGAGAGGCCAGGAGAGACTTATTTTTTCCCCCTGTGTAGGCCAGGGCCAGGTGGGGAGCAGGGCCACACCAGGCTAGGGGACAGTAGGGTGGTGGTGGCATCCCATGCTGGCCATCCCAGCCAATCAGAGGCATTGGGTGGGAGGCAGTTGTAATCTGCCTATGAAATTGGAGTTCAGAGCCATGGCAAGGCCACGAAATTTGGCCCCGAGTTCTGCAATTTTAGTACATGCCTACCTATAGTGCCACGGGCCCCACCCCTGGGCAGCAACGCCCCCAAATTCCCTGGCCCACTGGTGGGTTGGATGGAACATCTCCAAGGGCTGGATCTAGCCTTTGGATCATATGTTTGACATCTCTGTTTAAAGAAAATTGGCCAAGGAGCTCGATGATCCACTAATACTGATATTTAACAATTTCTGAATTTGGCAAAATTCCAGTAAAATGCAAGAAATCTAATGTGCCAATATACAAAAAGAATAAAATAAGGTGACCATGCAACTTATAGGCTAATTAGCTTGACAACAATTCTATAGGCAAAATCATGGTAAATTTGATGAAGCAGACAGTAAACAAGGAAAGAACACTGACAGAATTGATACCAATCCACAGAGCCTTATAGAAAACAGTGCTAATCAAATATTTGTCAAAAAAGATCACAAATTTAGGTGACAAAGGTAACAGTGGCAACGTTATATATTTACATTTCTACAAAATGTTTGACTTAATATGTCACAACATTCTTATAAAAATATTATATACTACACTGATTAAAAACTGAATCACAGTTCTCAAAAAATAACTATAAATGGGAAATCATTGTACAACTGGAGAATTTTTTATGGGTTCATACAAGAATCAGTTCCTGATGCTTTATGTTTCTATCCCAGTAGCTTTATCAGTCATCTAGCAGAATATAAAATTACTGTTGGTAAGGTGTGCAAAAGACATGTCAATGACCCCCGTACTCTTTCCTGCCATGGCAGGGGGTCAGACTAGATGATCTTCTCAGGTCCCTTCCGACCCTAGAAACTATGAAACTATGTTACAGAGTGATTTGGCTGCATAGTAAGTAGAGGTCACAATGAACAATATGTTTTCTTACAGCTAAATGGAACCCCATACATCTAGGAATCAAAAATACAGGTCACACTTACTGAATTAGGGGAGTATTCTGGAAAACAGTGACTCACAAAAAGCAGAGAGGTTATAAAGAATAACCTAATGAACATAAGCATGCTGTTAAAGCCAGTGCTAAAACAGAAAATGCTGTTCTCAGAGCAGGTTTTGAAAAAAGCTAAAAGAATTATCCTCAGTTTGTTGTCCACTGAAAGACTGACAAAATTCAGTGTATTTAGCTTTAAAGAAAGAGGTTTAGTGGTGTCTCAACTGCAGTCTAAGAGTATCTACTACGAGCATCTACTACAGTGTCTTGTAGCAGAAATCTCGCTTTATATATTTCCCTTCTGGCCATTGATATAACAGAAGCCCCTTCTTGCCTATAACCCTCCCTCCCCACCCCAATTTTGTGCATTTCTTTTCATTCTCAGTATTGGCAGAGACCTAGCACACTCATGGCATGGGTGTGGCAAGGCTCAGAGCAAGCTGGAAAGCTGAAGTGGCTTTCTGTAGAAGAAACCTAAAAACTACATCTACATATCAATTAAGCTCAGTGTCACTAAAGAAAACAAAAGAACTAAAATATCTACTGCAAAGACTGTAAATATATCCTGTGCTCACTTACTGTCCCCAGTAGCCTTTGATCCTCACTACCTCACACTGCATTTTTATATATTTTTCACAGTGCAGTTTCATATTTCATCTGTCTCATCTTTATCATGGCATTTTGTATTTTAGATTTTATGCTTTTAAATTCTTAAGGAATGTACTCCCTGTAGAATGAAGTTACATCCTGGACCATTGTTAAAACTGCATTGAAATTGTAATTGTAAAGTTATAAAATGAAGTGAATGTGAGTGAATGATGATCATCAGTAGACAATAGCCTAGCCAAAGGAACTCCATTTTAAGCTAATCAAGCTAAAACACTGATTCTTGGAACTGAGCACTCACCGTATGGACTATTCCTGTAACCCATGACAATACCATTAAGCCATTAAGTCAACAAGTCAAGGGTGGACTCCCAAACCTTCAGGTACCAGCAGGCAGAGAACCCTGTGACTAACAGCTGTCAGGTACTACTCAAGACCCACATGGGACAGCGACCTCCGGATTGGGTAGCCAAGAGGATGCTGAGGATCACACAAGTCTGCCAGAAAGGGATAAAAGGCAGTGAAGCGTGACCCTCAGCAGCACCCTCTCAAAAAGCACCTGACCTAACAAAACAGAAAGATAAGCAGATGACCCCCTTCTGGAGAAGACATTACCTTGAAGGAAGCTGACCATCAACAGCAGACTCCAGAGCCTTGGATAGGTAGATATACTGACACCAGTGCTCCCACAATCATTACAGCAGCTAGTACACACTATACTACGTGGGTCTGAATGAGTGAGTACGTGTGTGTGTGTGTGTGTGTGTGTGTGTGTATGTGCTAAGGTAACCGGTACCACCCATAACTCAAAGTTGGCATCTATGATTTTATTAGTAGCTTCACATCCCATCCAATAAACTAGAATTTATTATGATCCCATGAGTTGGTCCTTTGTAGCCAACAGTCTGATATTAAAGGATTTGATAATCCGGTTGATAAAAGCATAAATTTCAGAAGCTTGAAGACAAAGCTAGAAAAAAAATAGATTAGAAAAAAGGATTTCTTTGTATGAAGCGGGCAATTAACCATGGCAACAAATTTACAAGACGTGCATTTCTCTAAAATACATGATATGCAGCAACTGTAAATTCAGGGCTTGACACTAAAATCATGGAGTGAAAGTCTATGACGTGTATTATGAACTAAGTCAGAACAGATGATCTCAGTTATCTCTTCTAGCGTAAAAATCCAGGAATCTTCGGAATAAGACTGGGTCAGATTCAAGAAAGCACTAAGATGCCTAAAATGCAACTTAGTTTATGCATTATCTGTGAGGGAGTAAGAATGCTGCCCACACTGGCCAAAACAGTGGCAACCCAAGGGAAGCATTTACATGCGAATGCCGACCCCACACACCAGAAGTGATCACGGGTTGGCATTTTTCAAGTCAGTGTTTCCTCCGAATTGAAGAAGGGAGCCCAGTACCGGCCCTCTTAAAGCAGCCCACAGCTGCCCAAGGGGGAGAAGAGGACCAGAAGCCAACAGGCTCCGCAGGACAGCTGACACCAGAAGCTATGGACCCGGAGAAACCAGGAGAGCTACCAGCAGCCAGGAGATGGGGAGACGACAGCCAGTTCCTCACCAGCCACCAGATTGTCCAAACCGAGTTTTAGGAGTGCAGGCAGAGTGGCTCCACTACCAGCATGTCTAGGACTGGCAGAGATGACAGACCTGGGATAGCAGCAGCTCGTAAAATGTGAGTTTCAGTTTTCCTTTGTCATCTTACTGACTGCACTGGTTTGGGAAACCTCTCAGGTGAGAGTACTGTTAAAGATCGTACAGTACTCCAGGTCAACCCTGGGTATATTTTCTTTTAGGCGGGGATATATGTCCCATGAAACTGTCTGGTGGGAGCCCTTATTGGACTGTAGCTGATTACAGGAACTACTGGACTAGAACGGTGTTCACTGTCAACATATGACAAAAGCTGGGCATAGAAGGGCCAGGACGTTGTGGGTATTTTTGTTATTAATATTTATCATTTCTCAGAGTCTTGAAGTTCAAACATGGACTGACTAATAGCCTGTTCCGTATAGTGTCGGGCAGGAACTTTACTGCTTTACCGTACATCATTATTGTTACAGAGTGGCAAGGGCCACGGGCATAGGGATGAAGGAGCCCCCAGAAGATCTGGCAGACGTCCCTGAAATTAAGCCTATTCACAAATTCTTCCTTCCTATAATATACAGTATTACATCAAATCATGGAAAACTAGAGAACAAGAGTATAATTTAACAGGAACTGCAGACAGAGACATCCTCAAACCTCTGTATCAACAGCACAATCAAGCAAGAGGCATGAGGCACGGATCACAGCCATATCAGGTGACCCCTTGACACTATCCAGTAACTCTAATGTAAAATTAAGAGTGCCTCCACCAGAAACTATAATCCAAGACTCCTCCTTTCTGCACACTATGCACACATATATACGTACATACATATACATATATATATATGCACACACATACACTATACAAACACACATATATGTATACGTGTGTATAGTGCATCTACACACACACACACTGTATATGTGTGTGCCTACAGTGTGCATATTATATGTATAGACATTGTACATATATATATCACATACACACTACACACACATATAGATATACATAGTGCGTGTGACCAACAGGGGGCCAGAGGCCCGCAGGACACGGGGGCACGGTACCAGGGAGACGCATCTCACCACGAAGCTCCGCCCCCGCACTCACCCCCGGGCCCGGCAGCGGCGGCGCCGGCGGCCTCCTGCAGGGGGCGCTGCAGCCAGAGGGGGCCTGGCTTCCGTAGCGCGTGCAGCACCGCGTCCGGCGACAGCGCCACCAGCTGCGCCCAGAGCCCGCGCGTGTAGAAGTCCACCGTGTGCGCGCGGCTCAGCGACAG